AATTTTTAATAAGAAGACTTGTAGTAGAATCAGTGAACTAATAAATGCTTTAATCTAGTAAGATTATTACATTCAAAATTTGTGGTCTTGATAAGATATAAAAACAAAAATAATAAAGATTCTAATTTATGTAAGCAATTCTTTCATGGAAATATAATCAATTATGCATTTCAACCCCATTTCCAATTATGTAAACAACTGACTTTTATCAAGCCCTTTACACTTAGTGTTTAAGAACGACCATTTGTAAGTCATCCAGATGACTAGGTCCTTAGAATGCAACTCCCTGGCTGATTCTATGCTAGCGTTGTGCTCAACTGATAGTTAAATAGCAAGAACTTCACAACTTGCTCTGACAACTCTTATTGACACTACTCGGAAATCACCAAAGTTAGCAACGTAAAAAATACCACTACAAAACGTACCCAATAGTGAATAAGAACTAATAGCGGCCAATTGCAGTTGCATCAACCATTCTTTAGTAGCAATTAAAATAAATCTCTTTTTGGTTGCTTGAAATTATTTCCATATTATCTCCATTAACATGAAATTATATTCAATATTGAACCCTGGAAAAATCCAATTTTAAGCAAATTATATATGAAACGGTGTTCTCGGAAAAATAATACTCATAATAATAGAGACAAAAGCTAAGGAAAAAAATTATTAACATCCTTGAAAATCTTCTTTCACTAATTTATAAATAACGTTCACCTATTTTTTAAGTTCTGAAGGAAATGATCATTGATGAAATGTAATGTGTCAGGTTAATCTTACTCTTTTATGTCTATAGTTTGCTCGAACAACGAATTTGGAATTGAAATTCATGAAAAAAAAAACGGTCGAACAAAAATTTCTCCAAAAGTAAGCATGCATATGATAATACCGTTACCTTTAACCCCTAGAATCTAATAATATTAAAATCAAAAAAGAACTAAAAGACAGAAAAAAAAAAATCATATAGCAAAAGCCCACTTGTCCAATTTGCTTTGCACTTTCACTTGACTTTGGATCTGAAAATAATATTATCTCTGTTGCACGCATCTCACCGCATTCAATGCATCCGATAAAGCAGGTAAATATTATTAGATTTTGGTCCAAATCCACAAGGATGAGTTGGAAAGTAATGTAATAAAGAGCTCATAAATAAGCAAAGTAAAACAAAAATTAAGTTCTTAGTAAGAGATTGAAGAACAAGAAGTAAGTTAAGTGGAGAACAAATATATGTTTGGAAACATAATGATAAGAGAATATAATTGGTGGCATCATCTACAAAGTAAATTCTGATAATTAAAAAAACATGAAACAACTCTAAACTTACTTGTGTATTAACGAAAGGATTTATTTGTAGACAACATTTGCAGTACATCTTTTGTGTAAATGGTCGGCATTTGTTGGTTTAAGTAGAACTTAGACAGAGTTGCTTGTTTTTACTCTTAATAATACTACGTAAAGTTAATAATAACAGAAAACTAGTTAGGGAAGATACAAACCAACAAAATCAAGTGTTTGACCTTGTGCTTTGTTTATCGTTATTACGAAACATAGCCTAATTGGAAATTGAATTCTTTTGAATTGAATTTCGATCACTTTTTAGAGGTATAAAAGGGATCCTTGACAAAAAAAATATTTTTCACAATATTCGTCTGTTGTCATTTTAGCAAGAATTACCTTCTTTTCAAACTTTCGACAAGTA